ATGTGGCCACCATGAGTAGGGCTACTGACATTGATATCATTTTTTCCCAGCAAAGAGCACTATTCTGGATTCTCTGCACTAAGGGAGGTTTAATAACCACAGATTGCCACCCACAGAGTCTAGAAACCCACAGTATCTAGAAATATGGGCCATTAAGAGGTATAAGAGAGAGAAGATAAGTATGGAGTCTAGGCCTCAGCCCCTTTACAAGGGAACAGGGATTGGGAAAGAAGTCCTAGAATCTCCAAGTTTCTAGAAGTTTCTTTGTTTCCTTTCCTTTGCTTTGCTCTTACATTTCAGCAGAACGTCTGTTTCCCACTGGGGAAGGACTCTCTAGGGTCTCTTTGAGCTCAAGAGTTTTATCATTAATTATCTGGAGCACAGTAGAAAAGGATGCTTCTGTTCATCTCCTATATTTACAAAGTGTCATTGGACGTAACTAATGAAAAGTTGTTTTCCTTAAATTTCTAGATTAAAGACATTCAGGGAAAATTAAACAACTAGGATTTAAATCCAAATAATGACTACTTGTTTTAGTTTTGAAGGTTTTACATTGTTTTCCCCAATGAGGACACTCATAGCTGGTTGTGAGAGGACAATCCAGTGGGGGAGCAACTCTACTTTTCAGGGAGAATTGGCAGGGCCTTCTGGAAGAAGGGGCGCATCTGGGTAACTCATGATTTACTCATTCGCCTCCTTTTTTCAGCCTCAGAGACTTAAAGCTGGGAAGGGCCTCACAGATGACCTGGTCAGTGTTTCCCAACCTGGTGTCCTTGAACAGGTAGGGGATCCTCAACAGAAAAAAAAAAAAAAAAAAAAAAAAAAAAAAAAAAAAGTGGGGGGGGATCTAAAAGCTTCTCTTCAATAATTTTCAAAGCCTAAAAAGGCATCATACATTTAGCTTTTTAACAAATTCCCCACCTCATGATGCTGCCAAGCAATTCCGTTGATAGCCCCAGTAACTTATGAGCCTTAGAGGCCCCGGTTGGCTGATGATGACATCATGGCAAAAATATAGGAATGGTAGGCCTTAGAGATAAAAACTCACTTTGTAGTTCAGTAACTGAGATTCTCAGTGGGTTGTAACAAGTTACGTAGAATGAATGACTGGATGGGATTTTCAGAAGCTCCTGAGGCAATAAATGAACTTTCTGCTTCTCAGTTCAAATAAAGTCCCTGAATGAGTGAATATTTAAACTTCTTTCTAGGTCCAAAATTAAGTTTGAATAGGTAGCATTCCACTTTTTCACAGTTTTTTTCTGCATGGATAGGATGCTGAAGAAGGAATATGAATATGAATAGCCTGCTTTTCCCAATTTTTCTTGGAGACTCAGAATTTGCCCCAAACCTTAGAATAGAATGCAGACATGTATGGACTCATTTCCTTTTTATTGTATAGGAATATAGCAGATACCAGCCCCCAAATCTAAAATCCTATTTGTCTAAACAATCTGTTACTGATTATTAAACAATGTTAACAGATTCAGGAGTTTCTTTTGTCAGTGTTAAGCAAGCAGCTGAAGTAAGCGCCACACAAAATCCTTAGAGAATTGCTGTGTTAAGCACACAATCTCACCAAACTTGAGTCCATAGAAAACAACGATTTTTAATATTGATGTCCACGTGTTTATAGGTATGTATAAGAAGGCAGGTTGTGACTAAACAGGAAAGTTAAAGGAACAGGAGAGCTGGCCACAGTGATACCCACTACTCAGGAGGCTGAGGTGGAAGGATCACTTGAGCCCAGGAGTTCAAGGTTACAGAGGGTTAAAATCATGTCACTGCACTCCAACCTGGGTGACAGAACAAGACCGCGGCTCAAACACACACACGACAACAACAACAAACCCAAAACAAAAACAAAAACAAAAAAACCCTGGGAGAATCTATTGCTACACTGTGTTCTTCCTCTCCGTCCCATCTGGGAAACCGTTTCTGTTCATTTAAATGCTCTTGACTGTCGGGAAGATAAGGTGTTCCATAAGAGTACTATAAGGCTAAGAGACATGACAATTAGGCAATAGATTTCCTCAAAAATTTCTTTGATGCCGAGCCTCAGGTGGCTGGGGCCATGTGAAAGAGGCTCACTATGAAACTGACTCTTTATCTTGAGGACTGTTCAAGCTTGAAAAATTTGCACAGGTCCTAGAGAAATGTTCCAGAAAGAACTGAGCCTCTCTTACATAGCCACTTTATTTCTATGAGATCTAACCATCGTTGTTCCCACTAAGATTTCCAGAACACTTGAAAATCCAAAAACAACCAAACAAAAACCACACAAGAAGAGTTTTTAAAGATAATCACTATGTCCTGAGAAGAAGCAAAAGGATGAGGAGAGAGCCCAGTGTCAAGAGTGCACTTGGGTGATGGGTGCATCAAAATCTCACAAATCACCACTAAATAACTTACTCATGACTCATGTAACCAAATACCACCTGTACTCCAGTAACTTACGGGGGAAAAACAAAGCAAAAACAAGAGTGCAATTGGAAGAGCAGTGCCGGTCATGACTGCTTCTCCCTGGCTATAGTTTGTGCTTTTTAAACGTGTTGGGATACAATTCACATACCATTTTACCATTTTAAATTGTACAGTTTAGTGGGTTTGAATACATTCAGAAAGTTGTACAACCATCGCCACTATCTAATTCCAGGACATTTCTTTCCCCCAGAAAGAAATTCTGTCCTCATGAGCAGTCTTTTTGTTTTTTGGTTTTTTTTGAGACAGTCTCACTGTCACCCAGGCTGGAGTGCAGTGGTACTATCATAGCTCACTGCAGCCTCGAACTACTGGGCTCAAGGATCCTCCCACCGCTGCCTCCCAAGTAGCTGGGACTATAGGCATGTGCCACCACACCGGCTAATTTTTTTTTTTTTTCTTTTTGGTAGAGACAAGGTCTTACTATATTGCCCAGGCTGATTTCAAACTCCTGGGCTCAAGTGATCCTATGAGCAGTTTTGTTGACTTGTATGTAGGCCTGCCTCAAGTATACGGCACCATTGATCCATCTGTTCATTGAACCAACGTTGATTGTGCACTTACTAAGCTCCAGGCATGTGGTAGGCGTAATTCGCCCCTACCCTTTGCAGCAGAGGCCTGCACAGCCGTGTCGAGGATTACCTTAAGGAGCAGAGTTTTCTTTAGGGCTACAGCGGAGTGTGAGATTGTGGGAGATAAGAGTGAGTCATTGATCAATGGCTCAGTGAGAGTTGTGGGGAAGGAATTGAGGCTGATGAAAAGTACACAGTGAGGTTATATGTTCTTCAGGAAGGTTTGCTGTGCTGTTTAGGTTCCTTTTTAAAAGTTCATGGCTTTCAGGAGTTGTTACCTCCCCAGAGGAGGTGTTGGCCAGCAAACCAAACCCTGTACATTTTTAGACTCCTACGCCTCTCCTCCACATTTCCTCTCTGTCCACATCCAGCTGCAAAACTTCTTTCCATTTTTGACAATTTCCATATCCATATTCATTTCTTTCACTTAGTTTTCTTTTGCATGTCTTTTTCCAATCATTCCTGCCCCCACCCCTCTGCCACGGTGCCCCTCACCCCCCGTGAATCTCTTCTGCTTTTGTGGCCTGTTCTTTTTTCTTCCATTTTTCCTCTTTTTTACTACTCTTCGCCCCCACACCCAAGGTACCCAGCAGGCTTGGATGAGAGAGTCACACAGAAGGGACTGTTTATAAGTAAGAACGTTTGTCTTCTCTCCATACACACACACTTAGGGAGGGAAAGTGTGACCTCTACTCGCAGCCGCTCCTTTACGCATTCCATTATTTATAATTATGATAATAGAAAATAATATTGATTAAACTTTTACTGTGAACCAGACACCGTGCTAAATCCTTTTCAGACTTTATCTCATCAAATCCTCACAACAATCCAACAAGGCAGGTACTATTATCACCTCCAGTTCACAGATGGGAAAACTGAGCCTTGGCGTGATTAAAGTACTTGCTTAATATCCCAAGGTAGTAAATAGTGGGAAGTCACCCACAGCAGCTCTGTCTGACTGCAGGGCCTAAGGTGTGATTTTACAATGCCTTACTTTCTTTCTGGGCTTCTATCCTTCCTCCAACCCACCTCCCACTTTAACTTAACTCCCTCTCTCTTCCTAAAGTGAACTCTGCAGTCTAGTTGGCTTCCTTCCAGCTTCAGTGAGCTGGGGAATCCCTGGCATGGGCTCAGCTATGAGTTCTATGGAACATTGTAACTGCTGGTACTACAGCAATAAAATCTTAACAGTTTTGGCCGGGCGTGGTGGCTCATGCCTGTAATCCCAGCACTTTGGGAGGCCAAGGTGGGCGGATCACGAGGTCAGGAGTTCGAGACCTGGCCAACATGGTGAAACCCCGTCCCTACTAAAAATACAAAAATTAGCAGGGCATGGTGGCAGGTGCTTGTAATCCCAGCTACTCGGCAGGCTGAAGCAGGAGAATCATTTGAACACGGGAGGCGAAGGTTGCAGTGAGCCGAGATTGTGCCATTGCACTCCAACCCAGGTGTCAGGGTGAGACTGCCTCTCAAAAAAAAAAAAAAAAAAAAAAATCTTAACTCTCTCCAGAGAAGACGACTGTAAATTCTTCTGAAATCCCACTTTGGGTGTAAAAGTTCATGCCTGTCTTCCCCCTCCTCATCTTTTTTTTTCCACCCCACCTCCATTAACTGCCCCAGATTTCATGAAAGGGGCCACGCATTAAAACAAGGCCCAGAAATCCCAGCAGCCTCCAGCCGCAGCCGGGGTTGTGTTTTGTCTATGAAATGTTCTAAAAAAAAAAAACAAGGTTTCCTATCAACTCTGCTCAGGATCAGGGACACATAGCTTATGCTTTTGGGAAATCTATAGAGAAAGAAGAAAAGGCAGAAGAAAATTGCCAGTGAGGACAACAGAAGAGAACCATTGAAAAACCCGGAACACATAAGGATACGCAGAAGAAAACTTTGTGAAAATGACACCCAAGGGGCCTGGGATTTTTCCTCTCTCAATTATTTTCGTCTTGTTACCTGGGTCCTGACAAGCCAGCTGTGGTCTTTCTGAAAAATTCATTTGGCCGTCTTGAACTCAGCTGAAGAACAACTATCAGCAGAAGCCTGAGAGGGAATAAGAGTTTGTTTCTTCCTTCCAGGATCAAGTGAACAGGTCTGGGGTTGGGGGAGCAGTGCATGAAGAGTAACAAAGGGGTCCCTTTTAGAGTCTCCTTTCTCCCCCAGAAATAATTGTATCATGTTTACACAAAGTGTGAAAGTGGGACAGGAACCTGGGACAGTGACCACTGGGACAGATCTGGAGTGGGCCACGTGACCCCGGTCCTGGCCATCACATCACAACAGTGTTGCTTTGCCTTCTTTCCCCTAGGAAGGGGAGAGTCCAGAGGGAGACCCTGGGAGGTTGAGGCTTAGATAGGTAATGGAGGTGCATGTCAAAGGTAGGTGAGACCCGGTGGGCCTGGAACTATGACAAATGGAACAAAAGGGCTATATGTGTCCTGTGAGATAAAACCCAAAATGTGTGTATCTAAATCCCACTTCCCTCTTAGTTTCTAAATCCCTGTTCATTTCACAGGAAATTAAATGTGTTTATCAGATTCCTTTACCCTTTCCTCATCGAAAGGTTAGGTTGGAGTTGGCTTATGTGCCAGAAACTGCTATGATTTTGTTTCTGAAATTAACTTCTAATACCTGTCTGATCAAAATTGTAGCACCGGCAGGGCCAGCAACAACTATGCCTATCCTTCGCTGGCCAGCTGAATGAGGACACGCATGCTACAGAATGTGTGTGTGTGTGTGTGTGTGTGCGCGCACATAAAGGAGAGGAAGAGGTTCAGCTGATTGCCGAACCCCAAATCTCAAATTTGAGTCAAATGTTTAAAGACACATTGGGAGTTACCTTTTTCTTTTCCTTTCTTCAGATCGATGTCATTTTGGGATGGGGGAAATGTGTGAATTTTTTCTACTCTCTTCTTCTTGAAAGGCCTCCTTGAGAGCAGGAATTGTGTGTTACGCATTTCTGTCCTCTCAGAGCCTGGCGGAGTATCTGGCACCCAGTAGGTGCTCAGTAATTGTTGGTTAAAGGTGACAGGTACCAGACACACTACTCCAAAACACGGCACCTGGGAAATGGAGAAAATCACAGAGGTAAGAAGTTAATTCTCCGGTCTTCTGCCTTTTTAAGAAGAGAGGGCCAGCCATAAAAGAATTCTCTTACCTACCTCTCCTGAGAGTAGGTCATAAGACCTTCATATGGCAGATGTCCTGCCCCACACCCGGCAGAAAGGAATGGAGATACAGAGATGTCAAAAAGAATCTGAACAAACAGGCCTTACTAAGTTCTCCCAGCTTTGTACCATTAGATCATATCCCCTTTTGTCCAATCACATTTCTGCACGACTGTTTACTCCTTATCAAATTCTAGCATAAAAATACAGCTTTCCCTGAATTTTTGGGTCTTCATTTCTGAAGGTTCCCCTGTCATGTAAAACTTCGGTTAAATAAATTTGTCATGCTTTTCTCTATTTCTGTCGTTTCTCTAAAATCCATCTTTTGTTAGAGAGGCATCAGCCATGAACCTTGCATTGGATGAGGAAAAGATAATACTTTTTATTTCCTATAAAGGGAAGTAGATCCCTTAAAGTAGCACCGACCCGCCACCTCCTTCAGCTCCTACCTGTGCCTCCTTTAGCCCTTGTAAATCTGAATATGGTATTTCTCTCTGAAGCCCCCAAACTTCACTATCTTTTCTCTTTTTTGGATATCTTTAAAAAATTATCTCTCTGCAGATGACTTCCAAATTCTTTAGTATCCACCACTTCAGACTGCCTTCCCTGCATCTCCACCTTCCGGCTCTGTGAGACTCCTTCCTGTGGGAGAAGGAAGGGGCTACACATACATCCTACTGACATCTCAAAGCAATATGGCTGAGATGGCTCTTCTGTGACCCTTTTTCTGGCAGGCTATCCCTCTCTGCCCAAGTCTAGGGAAGGAGGTTCAGACCTTTCTGCTCTCATCTGGTGACATAGTTGGGTAGTGTAGTTTGCCGAAGTCCCAGGGCAAATGAGGCTGGAGGCACCCCTGGGCCTTGGAATCTCAAGAGGGGCTAGAGGTATGGTAGGTAGGAAGGTTTCCTGAGGTCTCAAGGTTTACAAGATGCTGTCTGTGGCAAAGGTTTGCAAACAGTGCTATTGTACAAGGCCCATGGTTACTGGTGAGATTTCCATCCTTTGGATGGACACTTCAGGCTGCAGTCCTGCCAAATTTCCTTTCTTCCAACCCCAGACTCATAATTGTGTAAGACATTTTTGTCTTAGTTTCTCATATAGAGAGAGCTAAATCCACCCTTTTTCTTTACCACAAACCGCTTGACTCTAAGGAGATTCTTATTGCTCTCCAAGGCTCCAGCCTCCAGGTCTTAGCCTCCCCCGGGAGTTCTCTAACTGTAGAGTGGTTCAGAATCACCTGCAAGGCTTGCTAAAACACAGACTGCTAGGTCTTACTTCAGAGTTTCTGTTCAGTAGTTCTGGGACCCAAGATTCTGCATTTCAAATAGAGTCCCAGGTGATGCTGATGCTGCTAGAGGGACCAAATCAGACCAACAGGCCCACTGATCACCACTCGTCTATGGTCTCTCTCAATAAGAGCAAATGCTGTTAGTTATTGGGCTTGCTTTCTGCTTAGGTTTTTAGATGCATTCTGTCATTTACTCTTCACAATAACCCCATGAGGTACCTACTATTAATATTACCATTTTAAAGAGGAAGAAACTGAAGCACAGAGAGGTGCTGTATCTTGTCCAATGTATGTCATGAAGCTGGGCAGTACTGATGCGGAAGCTTGTGTATTCACCCTGCCACATGGCCTGAATAGTCTAAGGATTTTTTTTCCCCCTATGGACTTCTCAGATTATCTACCTTAGAAACCCAGGGCTTTGCGAACAAGACGCCCTTTCATTCTGGACCACCCCCTGCCCAAATTTCTCTTTGCTGCTGGTTAAGTACAGCAAGAGAAAACACACATTTAATCTCCATTAAGACCTTCAGACTTTTTGGAGAGGAAGTCTAGTCTGACTTGGGAAAGAAGCCTGAAGTTCTGAAAATCTTAAAGAAAAGCAGTTTTATTGCTTTCAGTAGCATATGGTAGTACAAATGAATGACTAATGAAGCATTTCCAAGAATTCCTCTTAGCCTTTTAAAACAAATGAATATGGCTCATTTACATATAAGCAACTGTATTAAAGATTGTTTAACTGTGGGTTACATTAAAAGTGCAGAAGAATTTTATAGCTGATTTTTAAAAGTCTCGATATGGATTAAGAGCTCATGCTTTGGAACACGAAGCCTTTGAGATCATCTCTTCAAATAGACTGTTTTCATTTTGCTCCTAGATTCAGGTTTTGGTCTCTCGGGGAGCTCCTCTGACAAAACCCACAAACACACAACTGCCATGTGTCAAGGCAAAATTTGATATGTACCAGGCAGGCTAGGATTTGATGTTAAATAAAGACAGTGCAAATGTCTTGGTGCTTTGCCTCAGCAGGGATTCCCAAACTTACTGGGAGTTTGTGTAAATTCGAAATTTTTCCAGAGATTTTACCACAGTGTATCTGGAGGGAGCCAGGGAATCTACAACATATATATTCCCAAATTTTATTTTGTTCCTGTTTTTCTTACCAATGTGTTTGTTTTACTTTTTCTAATGTAATTCCAATGGGGCACACTTCCAGAAACACTGCCAGGCTGTGGGAAGGGAACGGGGACTGGGGAGGGAAGCACGCGGTTTTAGAGTTGTCCACCTTAGTCTTCAGACACTTCAAGTGGTTCCAACCCTTGCTGCCCTTTGGATTCATCTGTAACCCTATTAAAATGCACCAATTCCCTGGGCTCTACTCATGACCCATTAAAGCAGAATTGTAGGAGTGGACCTGGACAACAGCATGAAGAAAACAAACAGAAAAACAAAACAAACAAACCTCCTGGGTGATTCCCGCGTAGGAGGACAGTGCGGAAAACCGGTAAGGCAGTCTGATTTGGAGCAACACAATGAGAAGTATATTTAGCTGAGGGTAAAAAGTGGAAAAGTTGAGGTCAAAATATGTTGAATGTGTGGATGGATGGATGCGTGTCTTTCCAAATTAGAATGAACTCCTGCAGATAGAAGACCCTAAATTAGGAGACAGGTGCAGCCCAACTAGGGAGCCTCGGTCAGCCCATTCTACACCACAATTCATTCTCTCTCTCTCTAGCCTCTGCTGCGGGCCTACAGCCCAGGGCTGTTCTCTTTGGTGCCTTGGGCAGGGCCTTCACACTCACTTTCACTGGGCCTGCTGGCATTTAGGCTTCTGTCCTGGGCTGCTCTCTGGCTGCTAAAATCTGGCAGCCGCACAAACCCTGCAACCCGGTGGTTTCTGAATGATATCCCTTCAGCTTCAGCCCAGGGGCTCTGGCTTTTCTGTTTGTTTTCTTTTTTCTTTCTTATTTAAGAAGCTCAAGAGAACTTAAAAGCAGACCCTTGAAAGTTAAGCATTTCTAATCACATAAAGGTGTCTCTGCAGGGCCTGGGCTGAAGAGGGTTTGTTTGGGGGCTTTCATCTTTCTGTGTATCCCCTTCCTTCTTCAAACAGCCTTTCTGGGCTCTTATCCACCCAGCTTCTTGCTGGATGCCCACCCCCATCATCTCCACGTTTGGGGCCCAGAGGGTAAAGGAGAAGAGGGGGGTGGCCAGAGGGCCAGAGCGGGGAGGGAGGAAGTGGTTGGCCCCCATGCCGGGCCCTAGCAGACTTTGTGAGAAAGCCCCTCTCCATCTGCAGCCCAGCCCGGTGGGAGTCAATTAATTCTGAATAACCTAAACCGACAGAGGTATTTGCATTCACAACCTGACTGATGACCGTATAAAATTGATTTATGAATTAAAGTGCTTCCCCTCCCTTTATCCCAATTCAGTCTGTAATTGATTATACGTGCTGCAGCGAAATTAAATAAAAGAAAATTAAAAAGAAAAGAAAAAGGAAAGTGAAAAAAAGAGAGGCCCTTGCTTGGCGGTCTGGCATTCTCAGGGCTCCCCAGGATTAGCCATTCCATTCATCACTTATCATTTTTTACTTAAAAAGTTACTTCCCCCTTTGTCTCCACCCTCCCTGCACCACCCGCCTTCCCGCCCCCATGTCTGCCGTTGCCAGTATTCTCCTCTCCAGCTTCCTCCCACTTGCTGAAACTCTGAGGTGTAACAAGGCCCCTGGACAGAGTGAGAAGTGAAGATGGGCAGGGCTTCTCCCCAGCAGCACTTGTGCCCTAAAAAATGTGAGGTGTAAGCAAAGACATCTTCTATTTTTGCCTCCCTCTTCTGTGCTGGTCTTTCATCATTTTTCTGACTGCTCCCCACTCTACATGCACACTAATCAAAATTTTCTTGCAGGAAATCATTTCATAAATTTGTTCTCAGCAAGGAATACATTAACGGTAAACTTTTTAATGGCTTATTCCTCTTAGCAGAAATTCACCAAAGAATAAAGTGCTTAGGTAAAGGAATAAATATCTAATTGTAAAATTTCATTTTCTTAGTAGGAAAAAGGTCATAAGTAAGGGAGCAGAGAAGCTGAATTCAAACCACCTAGTGGACATGCGAAGGGACTTTGGGACTAGTTGGACCCAGGCTCTAAAAATTACTAACTGTGTGTCCTTGTGCAAGTCACTTAACCTTTCTTGCTTTCACTGACTCTTTAAGATAACGGACTAATCCGAGGTAATGTACATAAATCCCTTTGAAGTGTGGCTCAGCAAACATGGAAGGTACTTTGCAAACATTAGAATCAGAACCTACTTCCTTGCTTATTCTGCTTATGAAACAAGGCAGTGCTGACTTAAGAGCTTTCTGGTGTTAGGATGATCAGTGACTTTCTCCTAACTCAAACCCAGTGTGGCTATTTGACTGACAAATGGAGAACTGTTTTCATTGCCACACCAAATCTTGAGAACAAACTGTCTTCTTTACCTCAGTATCCTCAGAAATCTTGGTGCATAAAACACATCATAATTAAACCATCTCACTCAATTCATCCTCATAGCTTCTCACCCTTTCTCGGCTACCTTCTACCTCAGGACTGCCAAGATTTTATCCCTAG